GTGGGACTTGGGAGCTACTATCTTTCCTAAATGTCTCCCCAGGAAATTAGTATAACAAAACTCAAAAAGACCTTGAGGAAGGGGAATGTGATTTTATTTTACAAATCTCAAAATAAATGGATTTTGCCCCCCTTGCACTCTTATCCATATACTCACCAGCACCAAGGTGTGTGCATCTCGGTGGCCTGGCCAGGACCGCTTATGTGCAAGAGAGATAGTGCAGGGTACTTACTAGATCTCAATAAGAAAGGCCTGACAACAAATGGCTTAATAAAACATTTGTTTTAATAAGACAGAATAAGAAGAGGAATATAGACAGTGAGTAAATCTAACATCCCTTCAGATGCTGGGCACCCAGCGTTCGTGCAGCATTGGACAGACTCCGGATGGATTCTCCCACGGCACATTGCGCACATCCTGTTCATGAAGGGAAGCTCCCCCTTTTTGGTCATCTCAGCTATTATATATTTTCTTACAGGAACGCAATTCTGTTCCTAAAGGATGTTCCAACTTCCTGCTGCACACGTAGATAATGACAGGGCCAGGCCGGTGGTGCAATCGCCGGTGCCAAGCAGGAGCTGCCTGGAGGCTCCTCTGTTGCAATCCACCAGCTAAGTTTATCCTGCGGCCAAGGGACATGTCTAGGGACACAGCCTGATGGCCATGCTGCACGGCACAGCACAGACCTGTGTATATAAATCAGATTACATTAGTAATGTATGGGCTTCTCAGTCCCTAAGCACAATGCCCAAGAGAGCAGACATGGGCTGTTCGACATCACCAGCTCCTCAAGTGCCATGTCTTCTGCAAGGCTCCCAAGACATGGTCCCCTCTCTTCCTCCATGGGGGGAACTCTCCACCTTCTGGGTTTGGCAGGGAAGATGAGTAAGCTTTGCCGATACCTTGTGAGTGAAGTCTCTTATCGGAGGTATTTGTGAGCACTTCGTCCTTGACGCAGCTCTGACAGCACGGAAAGATCTTGCGATGCATGAGGCTGAACCACCATGCTTTCCACAGAGGCGAGTTTTGGGTGCTTCGGAGGAAAGGCCTGCATGCCACACAGACAGCTGCACCACCAGCGGGAGTTTCCTGCACAGAATAATAAATCTCATTTTTCTGCTGACAAAGCATTATCATACCTTTCAAACTTCAAACAGGCTTCAAAGAGATTGTCCAATTATTACATTTTTAACTGGAAACACCTATCAGCCCTCACTCCCCAGCTAAAGGGTGAGGAAAAAGCACTGCTAAGGGCAGATTTATAAAGAAGTGTCATTATGTGGTAGCAACCGTGGTCAAACCAGTTTTTTCCCTTTCCTCTTACATCACCCCGAGCCAGTGAAGCCTGGGGGTGTGCTCTCATCATCGGCCCTGCTGCAGGAACAGAAACAGAAAGCAGGACAGCACCAAAGGAGGGTTCACGGGCAGAGGAGAAGAGGAGAAGCCATGTACAAGAAAAAGCTGAAAGGGTAAGAAAAACCAAAATTGCTGACCAACCCCCCCCCCCAGCTTCAGCTCTGTGTTGTCGTTGCTCCAACTCAAGGGGACCCCCTCCCTTTGTCACCCCAGGGGTGTGCTTTCTGTCTGGGCAAGGTCTCTGCCCTGCGTGGGGAAGGGCAAGGGCGACACTGGTGCCAGCGTACCCGAGTGGGAGCCCTGGTCCCTGCTGTGGCTGGAGCACCCAAGTCTGAGCTCGTCGGGGAAGTTCCTGCCGGTATAAAACTGTCACGGGAGCCATAAACCAGCAGGGAATAAAAGGCGCTGATAGAAATGGGTGAAAGATGGGGCTGAATTGGGGAAGGGCTAAGGCAGGAGCTGCCTCACCCCAACACTGGGCAGCAAGAAAATCCAAAAGCGCCCTTCCCTGATCGACTTGCAGGTCTTGAAACAGCTATTGTGCCCTAAAATAAACAGGAAGTGTCAGGCCAGACATTTTCTGTGCAATAGAGCGGAAAAAAAAGTTTCAATGCAGAGTTTAGTAAAGAAGTGCGTTGGCTGTGCAAAGCGTTAGCAATGGAAGAAAAACGCAGATTAAAGAAGTCTTGACATAGCTATGCTTGTACATTTTTAGATATTATCATTATTACTATTATTATCTTGCAATGAGCACAATTTTAAATAGTTCCTAATAAAAAGTGTTAGAGGAAGGAAGGAAAATTATTAAATATCTATAATGGTGCAGTTTATTACACAAAGTTTTAATAAGATACTAGTTTTAGGAGCTGTTTTTGTAAAATTAGTACATTTTTAAAATAAACTCATTGCATTCCTGTTCAAGTTATGGATGATGGGACAATAGAAAAGATATAAATAACACATTTTAAAAGATATTTGTAATCAGTCAATAAGTTTTCAGGGTTTAATGCACATTTACACAGCAGCTGCATATTAATGGAAAAGAAGATAAAGCCTAGGAGACAGTTATGTTGGCTGTCATCCCTCTGCCATTTTTTCCCCTAACTCCTCTAAACTTTTTTGGGTGGAAATCACCTTTCAAATACTCAGTCTTCACAGGTGGTGTACTTCTCTCCAGCTCTTAAATTCTGAGAGGGTTACAGGTTCACCTTCATGAGACTGATGAACCAAATTTAGAAAGGAAACTAAAAAAGTATTAGGACTTTTTGATTGTTTGTTTGTTTTATTTGCTAACTCCTAATTTTGTCTTGTATTTGTCTCAAGGAACCAGCTATTAAGTGCTTGATTTTTCTGAGTTTGGCTCCATGTGTATATGTGTACTGCACATAACTATGCTGAATAGCAAGGACTGTTTGTGATAGCTGTACAAATAAAAGAATTAAAGTGATTGCATGGCTTTGGGCAATTTATCTGTAAACTCAGAACTTATTTTAAGTATTTTCTTACCTGGTTTGGGGAGAAAAGGGAGTAGGTGCTGGGATTCTGTATATATTCTATAGTGTGGCAATGTTTTACGATGTTTTTTAAATTTCTTGTCAATCCTTGTGTTAGAGGTGTTTAAATTTACATTAATCCATTATTTAAAAAATGGCAAGTTATATCTGTAGCAGATATTTATAAGAATGCAGACTTTTGTTTATATTGCATTAAGCTGATTACACAATAAATTTCACTTGGCTGAATACATCTTTAAGTGGCTATATCTTGAAAATTAGTGTATTGCAATATTGTTCTAAAGAAATGGCTTTATGTCCCTGAAAATATGCACAGGACAGCCGCTGCAATAGCTTATCCAAAGTGCAGTATTTTGTGGTCAAGACACAGGCAAGAGGGTGCCTAAGACCGGTTTAGGTAAGACCTGGAAATTTTAACTTGTCTTTGTGTTATAATCAGATGGCAACCACTACAGATACCTTTGAACAAATCTGTTGTAACACTGCTTTCCAAAACCTTAAAGATACCTCCTGTAAGAATTAGATTAACTGATTGGGCTTGAGTATTGGGAGTTCAATGTATTTTCTTTGGTGAACTTCAACCACTGTCACTATATTCCCTGTATATATACACACATGCACATTACATATATTATGTACATGTTTTATGCACATATGTACATACATTATGTACATCTATTATGTACATATACTTATTTTTTATATATATATGTTCCCTAATCATCAAGTTTTAAAGAAATTTAAGCTAATAGGCACTAACTTCCAAATAACATAATAGAAATAGAAAAAAACCATCTCTTTTAGCACCCCAAATGAGAAAAAATGAACATTAAGCCTGTGCTTCACTTTTGTCTCTCTTGGTTGTTTTTTTTTAATAACATACTAAAGGACTTAACTATAATAAAAAAAAGTTATTCCTGTACCAGATTTAAACATTTGGTGACATTTACATTTACTACATTTACATAAATTCAGTAGAAAGTCTGATAAAGAAATCTGCATGCATAGTTTCTGTGGTTTATATACACAGAGTTTGCATGGTAAACAGAGATACACTCTCTAGTTTACAAACTGGTTTGTGTACATATGTATTTTAATGCATAGGAGGCTGGGATGAGGAAGGAGACAGGGTAAGAAAAAGCCTTCTGATTGACTCAGAAAAATGAGATGCTTCTTTACATAAGTGATGATAATATGTGACAACAGCTTGAGCTGCAAGATTTCATTTGTCCTTAGTTCAGATAGTGGGTTTTTTGGTTATTGGTGGGTGCTAATCTATAAAACAATCTACAGGCTTATTGCTTCTCTGTTAAGAGCCTGTCCAGTTGTCTACTAGATTTATTCTGAATTACTCTGATGTGGAAAAATATGTGTCTATCTGAAGTGCATTCTCATATAAATCTCTATATAAAGCAATTGTACAAAGGCTACAAAGTGCCAACAGTGACTTCATATATCATTTATGTATCATGGATAATTACTGATATAAAGGATACATTCACAACCAACACTGGCAGTCTTTGTACAGTTACTTAATTGACAATATTTAGAGCTCTGCTCTGAGCTGAATAGATTTGGATCTAAGAGATGGACTATCTGTCAGAAAATGTCATTCTTGGGAGACACATCTTTTTGTGTAGAGCACTTTTTCCTTCTCTCAAGTAGGATTGTGCTGACTGTGCTAATCCTTATGAAAATACAAACAAGAGAATCCAATAAGGAGAAATACTTAGCTTTATAATTTATCAGTGGTTTTATTTGCTTTCTTTTAATTTTCTCAGTTTTTACAAAACTTGCAACGGCTCCCTACATTGAAAAGGGCTACATAGGAGCCTTGGAAAAATGTCTGTCACATAAAAACATATAGAAAGCTTTTAGAAGTACTTACGTGATGAGGAAGAGAACAGCCATAGGAAGGGGTGAGGAGATGGAAGTTCTGCATGCAGCTGCAGACAAAGGGAGGATTAGGTGGTTCAGGGTTTGGTTCCTTTAACTACTGCGTGGTGTCTACCTCTCCATTTCCCTTGCATTGCTCTCATGTTTTGCCCTTCTCGGTTCTCTCATTTCCTCCACCCTTCGCCTTCTTTTGTACAGGAGAGCTACCGAAAACAAAGTTGTAACCAGTCATTCCTTGAAGTTTCTCTTCTGTTTCAGCATGTATGTATCTAAGAAGGCGTTAAAGAATCATTTTGACCCCCGTAATACTCCACGGGACACATACCTACTATGCAAACTGCAGTGGGGTGAGACCGGCACACCTTGGATACACTGGGTCAGAAAGGATCGTTACCATGCTGAAGTCTACTTCCTGGAGAAGATCTTTAAGATGAAAAGATCCAATAATTATGTCAACTGTTCCATCACCTGGTACTTGTCCTGGAGCCCCTGTGCAGACTGCTGCCATAAAATACTGAAATTCTTAAAGAAGCATTCAAATGTGAACATAGACATACATGTAGCACGGGTTTATTACGCAGAAGATGAAAAAGTCCGCCAAGGTCTGAAGAACCTTGTGAGCTTGGCAAAAGTAACCATTGCTGTCATGGAAACGAAAGGCAAGGTTTCCCGTGCTTTGTGGGACTGGGAAGGGGTGAACTGGTGGGCTTTATGCATGGCTGAATCTGTTATGGGCTTGCTGCTGTGCCCAGTGTGCTGCCCAGGTTCTTTGGGGGCATACCCATCATCATTCAGTGACTGTCACATTCAAAAAAAGATGTTCAAATATCGCAGGAGAAGGGGGACAGGACTCTAAGCAACCAGACCTGTATGAAATTTTTCCCTTGTTTAGAGACACCATCTTTCTGTCACTCCTGAGGAAATGGGAGACAGGGTGCTTCTCCCTGGTCCTAGGGGACTAAATGCAGCTGCTGGGATAAGGCTGGGTGATAGGGCCCGCTGCTGATAAGAGAGAGAGAAAAAAATGCCCAGAGAAAATGGCATTGGTTCCAAATATGGAGTGGAGAGCATGCATCAGATGGCCTGTCCATGGCCAAGCTGTCTCTGTGTCATGGGCACAAGGAAGAGGTTAAAAAGTCTTGTTGCCTGAGTTTGTCTGGTATCTGAATAAACTGAAGTTTGTCATTTTGCTTCCATTTCTCCAGACTATACTGACTGTTGGAAAAACTTTATCCAAGGAGGTGCTGATGGTGGTTTCCAGACCGTGGACTTTCAATTGGCGGTAGAAGTGAATCGTTTGAAGCTCAAGAACATCTTTGAGGTTCGTAGACTCTGAGGGATAGGGGGAACCACATGCAATGATTTGCAGTCTGGGGTCACTGAGCTGTAAAGAGCAGGAAAGAAGCTGTTCATACCTAGTTGCAGTTTAAAGAGTGCTGCAGCATGTTTTAGGAAAAAGTAATATAGTAAAATCATAGGAACTATCCTGTCCCATTGGGAGAGAAGCACTGTGGATTTTCTTCCATCATATTACAAAGCAAAGGCTAAGAGTGTAGCTTCTCTCCTTCAGGCTCCAGAGCGGGAAATCCTTTGATTACCAGCTGAAACTCCAGTCTCATCCCAGAAACCCTCCATCAGATTCCTTTCTAATCTGGATCCGAGCATGGGTTTTTGTTCACCAAATGATGCTACTCAGCTGCTTTCTGTCAATATCTGCAGTGGTCTTACACCCCCTTTCAGTCACTGGGCCCCTATATTCTTCATTAAAGTCCCTTCCAGGTTTGATTCAGCAACTTCCCTGGCTGGTCCAAAGGGTACCGTTTCTGCGAGATGAGAAAAGCTGTTCAAAAGAGAATGCCTGTCCCCTGGGAAAATCCAACCTTTGTTTTTGTTTTGTGCCAGACCTACTGAAAGGCAGGAGAGAGAAGAGAGAGTGTGTTCACCAATGGTGCTCAAAGTTTGTGCCCCTGGAGACAAGCGACCCTGCTTGAATGAATAGGTCCACATCCTTGGCCTGGAAGGACCATGTACAAAAACAATCTAGCAAAACTCATATAAGTTCTGCAGCATTTTTATTTCAATATATTAGAGTTTTCTGACAAATGCTATTTTTAGCGAAACAGAATGAAAGAAATCTATGGCTAAGTAGGTCATTGAACATCTGGGAAATCCATTTTATATGGCATCTGTGGAAAAGAAGTATTCTGGGCTATTACAAGTAATAGACTTCTCCTGCTATGTCCATTTCAAATCACAGCAAGTCCAAAGTGCAATTGTTAAAGGATCTAAACATCATATTTTTATTTTAATTTCAGGATCTTCCATTAATAGAATATCTCAGCTTGGAAGGCACCCATGAGGATCATTGAGTCCAACTCCCTGCTCCTCGCAGGACTACCTAAAACTAAACGATATGACTAAAAGCGTCGTCCAGATGCTCCTTGAACTCTGACAGGCTTGGTGCCATGACCACTTCCGTGGGGAGGCTGTTCTGGTGACCGACCACCCTCTCAGTGAAGAACCTTTTCCTAATGTCCAAGCTGAATTTCCCCTGACACAGCTTCATTCCATTTCCTCCTGTTGTACGGTTTGGTGTACTACTTACATAGAACTTGTTTAGCATAACTTGCTTAGCATTAGTAGCTAAATTTGCTGAAGCCTTAGGCCGCAAGCTGTGAACTTTCAGCTAGATATGTTGAACTTTTACCTAGTCAAGTAAAAGAAGGCTCCGGAGCTGGTTCAAGGCAGAATATAAGGAAGCTACATTCATTAACAAAAGCTGGAACCTTAGAGATAAGAAAACAAACGGCCTGCCTAGACCCAATGTAGGGACCCAATGAAGAATGGGAAGACCCCAGTCCCTAATATTACTACTGGTCCAAACTGTTGCATGAGGGGTGGAGAATTTAGATTGTAAGGGTATAATTGCTGAGGGATTTCTTCATTCAAGGTCCCTCTTTGGAGGCACCCACCTTGAGCTGTAGCGCTATTAATAAAAAGTACTTTTATAGAGGAACCCATCTTTTGGCTTATCAATTCAGCAGAAACCTAGAGTTGAACGCAACTGGTGACTGGTTGCCAGCCTGCTGTAACCCCATGTACTATAACCCTTTGAGCCCGACCCATCAGCCAATTGCTCACCCAACGTGTGATGGACTTGTCTAGCTGTGTGCTGGACAGTTTGTCCAGAAGGATACTGTGAGAGACAGTATCGAAAGCTTTGCTAAAATCCAAACCTACCACATCTCCTGGCTTCCCTTGGTTAACTACATGGGTGACCTTGCCATAAAAGGAAATTAAGCCGGTTAAGCTGGACTTTCCCCTCATGAACCCGTGCTGGCTATGACCAATGCCTGTGTTGTCTCTCAAGGGTTTTTCGGTAAATCCCGGAATAACCTTCTCCACAATTTTACCAGGCAATGAAGTGAGACTGACAGGCCTGTGATTACCAGGGTCTTCCTTCTTACCCTTTTTGAAAATTGGGACAACATTTGCCAGCTTCCAGTGGACTGGGATCTCTCCAGACTCCCAGGACCATTGAAAAGTAATGGAGCGAGGTCCTGCAATGACACCAGCCAGCTCTTTCAGTACTCTGGGACAAATCCCATGAGGCCCCATAGATTTATGTGCATCCAGCTGGAGCAGCAAGTCTTGAACAAGTTCAGGGTCGGCTGGGAGTTTATCATCCCCCCCAGTCACGGTCTGCCATCACAGGGCTCCGGGGGTCCCAGGGCCCATCATCAGTGTTAAAGACAGAGGTGAAGAAGGTATTAAACGTCTCCGCTTTGTCTACGTCTCTATTTGTGAAGTGACCAACCTCATCAAGTAAGGGACCAATGTTATCTCTGATCCTCTACTAAGAGGTTTCACCCACAGAAGATGGCCAGCTGCCTTACTGCTTGTATGTAGAAGATAACAATCATAAAATGTTGCTAACATTCCCCGGTTTCTAAAAGCCACCAATATCCTGGAAAGACAGCTTGTTACCGGGAGTCTTGAGCATACTGGACAGTGCTACATATCCCCAATGAGAAATTTCTGGATGTAGAAATGGAGGCAGGTACCAGCCAGAATGGGGACCAGTGTCCCAGGCCCAGTACTCTGCTAACATTGTTATTCCTCTGATGTGGCCCAGTGGTGCACAGGCTGATGGGAAAAGGCTACTGAAAGAGGACTGCTAAATTAGCACCCAAACAGTTGATTAATTCACTGTAACTTACTTCAACTGAGGCATTTTGATGAAAACAGGCTATTTCCTTGACTGTTGGAAAAATGAATCTCTGGCAAGAGGTCGGTCTGCCAAAAGGTACATTTGTGGAGACGTACTGTCCTCTCGGCTATCCTTGTCTCCTACCTCATGCTGCAAAAGGAACAAAAGTGAACGTAAAACCACAGAAAATGCCCCATCGGGGCAGAAAGCATAGTCCAGACACTGTATCTAGTAGTGGCAGGAGGACATGCTTTTTAGGGAAAGCAGACAAGCCTGGCCACTATTTGTGGTTCATTATGATCCAGTCACATTACCTCAATACCCACAATGACTGTGGTTGGGAACTCCGCATCTTCCCTTTAGTGTCTGTTTATGGGCTTGAATACCATGAATTTCTCAGATTTCTTTTGGCCCTGTCCTGCCATCTGTGTCCACAGTTTACTGGGGCAGCAGATTCCAGAAGTTCACAGCTTGCCATGTAAATAAGCACTTGTCTCTGTTTTAAACTGATCAACTAATCACAGTAAGTGCCAGTTCTTGCTATACAAATGTCTCATCATTAATCACTGAAACACTTGTCTGCATTTGAAAGGCTGTGCTAGCCTGAGAATTTTCCACTGGCTCAGTGGGAGCTATAACATGTAACTGACAGCAGCACTTGATCTTAAAAGAGCAACTTAAAACATCCCCAGATGCTCCATTCAACAGAAGCAAATCCTCCATCCACCAAATGGTGTGACTGTGGAATGATAATTTCAGTATCTGTGGTCATTGCATTTCAGCAGCTCCACTCAGCTGGCTAAAAGAAGTAAGAAAGTATTTTTATCCTCAAGCCCGTCCTGGAACTGGACCACTAGATGTATCCACTGGAAAATCCTTGAAAAGCAACGCATGTTAGGCTGCACAAAGAACGGTAGGAACGCAGTTGTACCCCTTGCAGTTGTCTGGCTGGGTTGTTTGCTCCTCTGTCCGCTTGTTCGCTCCTCTGTACTGTGCAAAGGTACAAGCCCTGCTGTCCGTACCAAGTGCTTGGGAATAGAACCTCTCTCCATCCCTTGTTCCTGATGCTAGGTTATTTTTGCAAGACTAGGATAAATATTCATTGACTTATACCCATTTTAGTCATTAAATTATAAAGCTATGATTGGGCCTGATTCTTCTCTCATTTGTATTGCTAATCTTTTAACATAGTCAATAGAATTACTCAGAGTTTTCGACCAGTCTAGCCTAAAGACAATCTGGCTGATGGAAAAAAAGAGGTGACAACCTGTAACTCACAAAATGGCAGCACTGCTCCTCAATTAAGTAATGGCCACTTTGGTAATGTGTCCTCCTGTTTATATATGGGTCTTTACATCTTACAAGTTTAGGAGCTGATGCTTTCAAGCTGGTCTTAAAGAGGCAGAGACAATTGATCACACAAGTTGTTATTGGGGTAAGAGAAACACAGACAGTGTGAAACCGCTAAACTCAATTTATGAAGTAAACCAAGTGTCTCGCCTCAATCTCTACTGTTGAAGGTCCTTGTAGCTAGTTGTTGGCACAGGCTGCCAATCAAATGATATCACAGTATACCTGCCCAGCAGCTTTGGGGATGGTTCTGTCGCTTGTTGATGTACTGTCCATGCCAAGGCTCGTTATGCTGAATTTTTGTTTATATTGTCCTGTTGGCCTTGACTTACCACACTCAGCCCCTGTCTGTATTGTAACCAGCTCTTGGTCAAAGCAAGGCTGTGACATTCCTATGTCACAAGCAAGCAAGAACCCAAAATTGTTTTCACAATAAAAACTGAGGGCAATTATGATGGTGTGTATCTCTCAGGGCCCTGAGGGCATTAAAAAACCCTTAGTTGCCTTGATGACCCTCACTTGGGGCTTCCACTGACACACTGCCCACAGATGGCCCAGGAGCTCCATTTAAGCTCAGGTCTGCGCTATTAGTCCCTGCCTGAGCTATGGCGTAGGTGTGCTTGTCTCCATCTCTCCCACCCGTGCCTATGTCCATGCCCGTGGCCAGCCATGGAGCCTGTTGATCTGTTTCCTGACCTGTGAACTGATTTTCAGGGTTGACCTCAGACCTGTCTCATCTCTGTGGACCAGGCCGGTGATCACCGTGTCTGTATGTGACCTTGGTTGCCATCACAGGACCTGATCCTGACCTGAGGATTGACTTCCCAGCTTGACCTAGGACCTGCCTGATCAGCATGAACCTGCCTGAAAATCTGACTCTTGGTTGATCCTGGCTGCTAGCCCTGGGCCTGCCCTGCTCTCCTTTTCTGGGTACACTGGGACAGGTCCTGGCTAGCAAGGCTCCTTCCTTGCTGTCTGCTTTATCTTGCTTGACTCGGCTCCTCATCCTTTAGGGAGTAGCTGGCCCTTGCTGCACCCTGGCAGTGTCTGGCAAGAGCTGCTGTGACTTGGGCACAGAAAACAGAGGCTCTGGACACCTGGCCAGTTGTCTAGATTCTGCTTATCTATAATGCTATGACGACATTTTTATTTCAAGCCATTCTTTTAAGTCATATTTGCCTAGCAAATTAGTCTGTGGTCAAACAGTAAGCAAGAAGAGACCTCACTTTCAGCTCAGTTCTCCCTGGGGTGTGTGTGTGGGAGAATAAGGAAATGAAATACAAAATGCCGTATCTAATGTAATAGTGAAAGTAAACATACCAAATGAGACCTGATAGGCCAAATAGCAATGATGCAGCTGAGCAATATTTCTCAATAGTAACTTAGAAATCAGAAGCCATCTCTCTTGAACTGGCAGAGGCAAAAGCCAAGTCATGAAACAGGAGAATACTCTTGCTGCTGCCATAGCTGGCTGGAGCACTGCTATTTAACCATGTGGCACATGCATATGGGGCTAGGAAGAAGATCTGGGAGCTGAGGGGTGATGTTCTGTACTCAAATATCTTGTAGTTCTCATGTATAGAGGAACAGAAAGGCCTGAATCCAGTCCCAAGTAGCACCTCTATGGTCACTGCTAGTCCTTAATGCACTGCAGCCTTTCTGTTCCCTGCTTGAGGCATGTGACATTTTAGTCTCCCATGGACTGAAACTTGTGCTTAAACTCAGTCATTTAGAGGTTATGGATGATATGTAGAGTAAGGCCTCATCCAGCACTCCATTCTGGCTACCTGGTCTGTTCGCATCCTCTCCACCTCCAGCCCAAGCCCATGTCCTGCCACACAGCGTGATGACTGCTCTCCTCACCTCCGTTTCCTGACTAGACAAAGGTGCTGATAGCTGTTGTCTCTTTCCCTGCAGCATCCCAGATCTGTCAGGCACTGAAGGGGTTGGAGCTCCATTGCTGGTTTGGCCTGGACTTTTCCTTCAGCAGTTCAGAATTCCTATGCCAGCATGCTCTGTATGTGCCACCCCACCTCTGCATCTGGATGGTCACTTGGTGGCATCCCAGAGCTCTGAAGAGACCCAGGGAGCAGCCAGAGCTTTATCTCCCCAAAGTGGCTTTGGGAGCCTGGCTCAGCTCTGCTTCCTGATCTGCAGCCCCAGAGATGGGATGCAGAGCCACAGTGCTTTGCACTGGCATTGCCTGGTTTGCGCTGCATCCATTGCTACCACGGGTCTGATTAAACCAACAGCAGTTTTCCTGC